CTGCTTCTCCCTCTGACCCTCTTCCCTTTCGTGCTCTCTGTCTCTCATTCTCTCTCTCTCAAATAAATAAATAAAATCTTAAAAAAAAAATAAAAATAAATATGATAAATACTCTTTGGCTATACATTTTCTAATATTAGAGAACTATAAAGGGGCTTTTTTTTATCTTAAAAGAATGTGGATGATTGGTATACATAATTTTTATGTAGCAAAATAAATTGAAGACATACATGCAAAGTCAAACAACAAGAATATCTGAAAGGTATATATCTAAATATCAAGGATAAGGAAGGAATAAAAGTAACTAACTACTCATTTTCAAATGATCATATGTGATGGGCAGTGTGGTTTCAAGCTCAGCTTGGCACTGAGTGACCATTGGCATGTCTTCCATAGACCACCTTTCCCATCTCATATATCACCTCTTCCATCTTGTATTCCTACTGGTCTTTATACCTTCTGATGTTCCTGCATCTGTCTCTCTCCCCTTTCTTTTCTCAGAGTATGAGGTAGTCCCACTCATGTGGTTAACCTCCACTAACTAAATCTAACAGGTTTCTTCAGCCCTTCAACATCTTAAATGCCATTAGCATTTTGGGTGGTCTGAGTTATCCTTCCTCCTAACCACAAATGTTTATAATGTGGGGCCATATATTGTCACATAGTGAATTTCCCACTGGAAATGGCTGTAAGGGTTCAGCTATGATAGCTTTACTCTGTATTGTATGACAAGCAAGCTTTCCAGACACAAGAAAGGATATATGGCATTTCAGAGCTGGCAATCATGGTCTCCTTCTTGAGAACACGCCAACCCTACCAGGAGTTAGACAAAATTGTTGCAGAATTACAAAGTATCATACTAAAAAGTCACTCTGTAATCTTTTGGATAGAAATGTCAATATCCTTATCCAATATGACAAAAGAACCAACTTTCATGGTATAAAGATGTTCAAGTTCAATAGATTACTTTGCAGATATAATTGTTTTATGAGTAAATCAGCGTTTCCCACCTGACTTCTTATTTAAATAACTTTGTCCATGAACCATAGGTTTTCTCTTCTGCCACCCTTTGTTAAAGAATAAGGTGGAAAATGGTGAATTTCGGTTTCCCACCTGAATCTGTATGGCTTAAATTGAAAAATTTCCCAGAAGTCCAGAAGACTATATAAATAGCCCAAAGTGGATCAGGTCAAAACCCCTCCCAGAAGATAAAAAAAAAAAAAAAAAACTATGGCAGCAGGAGAAAGGAAGGAGAAACTGTGGAAAAATCAAATGAGGGAAGTGTTGTGTATAAAAAAGGGGGAATTTTAATACCATTAAAATAAACTCCAAACCCTCATCATATTCCTTCTTCCCTCCTTAATCTTCCTGTCCATCTTCATAGGAACGCTGTAAAGACACACACACTGTAATACAGATGACAGAGGTAGATGACTATTAGTGATAGCAGGGTAATATGTTGAGTCCCAAGTAACGATGTCAGAGGAGACCATGAGGATACGTGAGCTGCTCTGGAGATAACCAGGAGGGATATTTGAAAACCTCTGCTAGCTAGCCCTCTCCTGGACTTGTTTATTCCTCCCTCAGCTAGACCTTGCCAAGAAATAAATGTAGGGCACAAATCTAAATCATGACAGAGCCAAATAATAACAAATAAATATTGAGAGATAACACAGCAGGATAAATTAGCCCAAAATATTAAATTTGAAGAAATTCATGTTCTATGAGCTTAATGGTTTCTTATCTGGACACTCCAAAGAGAGGCCAGACATTGGATAAATAACTGAGCTAGAATTCTTCTATATTTGAATTAGAGGGATATTTTCTTAGCATTTTCCTTCATTTTTTTTTTAATGGAGCCAGAGATAATATTTATGCTACGCAGCTTCGGCATTTAAAAACTTGAGGAAACATCAGTGAAAGACAAGCACAGCTTTCTACTTACTTTCGAGTTCATTGACCTCCAGGTAATAGTTTTCAAGGTTCTCATTGACAGTCGGTATGTTTTTCAGCTTATTATAAGAGAGATCCAGTTCAAGCAGGGATGATACATTAAAAGAATTTCCAGGTACTCCGCTATCAGCCAGTTCATTATGAGATAAACGCAGATACTGCAGTCCATTAAAACGCTTGAAATACTCATCAGGGATGTTGCTGATCTTATTGTTGTCCAAGTAGAGAGTCAGAAGAGATGCTGGGAGACCAGAAGGCAGTTTGGCCATTTGATTGTAGCTCAAGTCAAGGTACTCGAGGGACTTAAGACCTTTAAAAGCAGCTGAAACAGTATCCTCTTTCAGTTGATTGTGTTGAAGGTGAACAAAAGTCAGGTTTACCAGTCCATCGAAGGAGCCAAGCTTCTGGATCTTGTTGTTTGTAAGCTGCAGGTCCACCAGAGATTTGGGAAGCGGGCTCACAGACTCCGTCAGGTTGTTGTAATTTATATGCAGCTTCTTCAGTTGTTTTAGTTTAGAGAAAATTCTTCCTTTTATCTTGGAATTTTCTAGAAGGTTATGATCCAGAATGAGCCACTGCAGATCAGTTACGTTTTCAAAGGCCTTTTCATCAATATGGTCGATCTGGTTATTCCTAAGGTAAAGATACTTGATTCCAGGAGGCACCATTGGCACACTTTTCAATTTCAGCTCATCACAGTACATGGCTGATGGGTAGCTTTCAGGGCAGTTACATTCTGGGGCACAGTTTGGGGATGATAGCCCATAAATCGATAGAGCAAAATCGTAATCATAGTACTGGCCACTGGCACCACCGACTATTGCCAAGAGGAGAGTAACCACGCCGAGGTTCATTTTTGGCAAATGTTTTGAATCCTAAATAAAGTGGAAATACATTATTATATAATATTATACTTTCAGGAAAAGGATATTGGCTTGGCAATGTTAAATCAATTAGCAAATGCATTTAATTTATTACTTTATAGTAATAAATTATTTTATTACTTTATAACTTCATAGTGCTTTTTTAGAGCATCTAATGATGTCTTTTTAAATTTTGTTTCGGTATCACGGGAAGGATGTACATACAACTTCTAGTGTGGTGAACAGGGCTCAAGTTAGATTGCATACACATGCGCCCCCTTCTGGGCGAGCTAGGCCCAATTGTCCATTCAATCTCTCTAGGTCATTCCTTAATTAAATGCCTTCCTGCAATAGGTTTCTGGGTGGTGCCCACTGGCCACCATGTTAGTACACTGATTCAGAACATCCTTCAAAACCAGAAAAATGAAAATGAAAAGACAGTTGTAAACTGTATCCTGTACCCTACCATTCACCCTCATTAAAATGTCTCATTAAGAAGACCCTTACCAGAAACACGGGCAATCTATGGTTTTGCCTGGAGGAAAGCTGTTCTTATGTATGTGTGTGTGAGAAGGGGTACATTCCTTTAAAAATGTCTGGGTATTGTTGGTTCTGAGGAGGAGGAACAGAATTCTTGGTGGGTGTGTGTGTGCCTGTTATTTTGACTTTTCTTTAACATTCCGTGCGTTTAGGCACACTACACAACTGTGTTCCAAAGTTAATATTTAGTACATTAGTTTTAGAAACTACTTTTTCTTAATCAGGGAAATGTCACAAATTCTAAAAAAATGTTAAACCTATAAAGAGATCCAGCTGGTAGAGAAAATATATTATTTTCAAGTTCTGAATTAAAGTTTTCCTTTCTCAGTAACTCACAAGTTCTCTATTTTCTTCATGCCAAAATTTAAGAAGACATGGCTCACTTATCTGGATTTTAGTGCCCTCACAGCATGGAAGTGGGAAAGAGGTGGAACTGAGGAAAGTCTGTATTTAACGGTGGCATTAGGAGCCATGTAGAAAAGGACAAAATTGAGAATATAAATTAAAAATGAGCTGTAACAGTGATTTTCTCATATGAACATGTTTCTAAGGTGAGGCTCAATAAAGTACATTTCAATTGCTTGGGAAAGTACAGGGTTAGCAATTTAGGTAAAGAGTTGGACTTTTGTAGAGTGGAGAGTTATGGCTGGGGGGTAACTCCAGGAGGGCAATCATAATGTGAGGCAGGATCCACATTCCACTAGATACCATTAAATAATATATCTTCCTGTGAGAAATATGGTACAAGCTTTTGTATCTAGGTAGTTTGGGGTAAGTAGGATTTTTTAGTATCAGAAACTGAGACATCTTTTCTTTGTTTCAACTTGAAATTATAAGGCACTTTATTTTAGCAGATGAAACCCTGAAAAAAGTTGTTAGAATCACTCTGATAGCTGACATAATGTAACATGTAGCCAGATTCTTGGCAAATTATTCCCAAAGATTACGATGGCGTCATTTAATTTAGTTGACAGGAGTTGGCCATGAGAACAATTACATAGTGTAAATGTAATTACAGGATTCTTTATAAGTTATAATATGTTAATGTTATAAAGACTTGTCTGGCTTCATTAAAAACCTTCCATCTTATTTTAAATTTAGTATACACTAAAATAGTCATGGTCACTATAATATGAGTACTGAATAGTAATGAAAAAATGCTTCCATACTTTTTGGCAGAGGAAAAACAAGGACTCTGAATTCAAAGAGAGTTTGTGACCATATAATGAATCCACTATGAAGCAAAAGTGCACTTTGCTTTTTCCCAGTTTTTTTCCAAATACCTGTGGCTATGGAGGAAATGCTTTTCTCAAAAAATAAATCGTCTTCCCCAGAATTTCTCTGAAACATGTTTTTTCAACACATACATCCAAAAAACAAATCGATAAAATTAACAAAATAGAAATAAATAATTCATAAATGTCTAAGTTCTTTAGCTCAAGTTTTATAATAACATGTTTATTGTAAGTTGTAACAAATTATAACAATATATTTATTGCAAAATATTTTGAATACTAATGGAAATGGCCTTTCCTTGTTCCAAAATTAGGTTCTAACAACACTAACATATATAACTAATTAGCATAAAATAACAAACATTTTAATTGCCACGTTTTTTACTATGTCTACTTTAAATATTTTCTCATTCCGATTTCTGAAACTTTGTATAGCTTCCTTTGCCAAGCAATGTAGCATATACTTTATAAAATTTATCTCAAATCCATAAATCATGGAAAGCACATTGAGCACAATGTGAAAGTAAATGCTCAAAACTGTGGATTTGCTGTTGAATAGCAATTGGCAAAGTTGCTCTGGAATTTTTTGTTCCTGTTACAATAAACACTGTCCCAAACCGTCAGCATCCCCAGTGCTATAGTTAAAACAGCACTTACCTTACTGTCTTGACACTGCTTTCGTTAATTCTTAAAGCAGATGCACTATGGACAAGAATCCACCAATATATGCTGTGAACTCTGTCAGGACGGAACTGGCTGCCAGGTTCTTAGTGATACAAGAGCTGAAGGGGGGAAAACCCAACCCAGTCACGCCAGTCTCTGCATGGAGTTATGTCATTGTGGGGATCTTGTGGGGTGGCATGTGAGCATTCTGCTCGCTAACGAAGTGCAGGTGGACGTGGGGAGCAAAGACTGCCCCGCTCATTCCCTATGGAATGGGAGAGAGATTCATGCTTAACTTACCCAAATACCATAGCTTTTAACTAAGAATTGAGTCCTGCTGCAAATGAAGACATCTACTGGGGGGGAGGGCATTCCTCTTGCAAAGCTCTCTCTCTCTGTAGCTGTTGCAACAATTAGGTGCTGTTCTCTCAATCAACTCTCAGGTTCATCTAAAGGTCTCCTAAATCGTAAACAGACAAATAATTTCAGGAAAATGCAAATAAGTCTTCAGAGGAATTGAACCTTTTCTTGCCCATGACTCTTGAACTTTATATTGATTTACTTGGACTACCTTAATTTGGGGCCAGGGAGGTAACTTATGTTAGTTTCCAAAATGTGAAAATATGCTTCATTAACACTCTGACAGAAAAGGTAAATATCAACATTTCCAGTTTATTTCTTATGTGAAAGGGATTCATTTTATGCTATTCAGATCTGGAATCAATCAGCAATGTCCTGCCTGTTTCTTATTTTGTGGATTTAATTTAGGAATTCATCCAAAACCTTACTTGGGGATGGTATTCTATAGCTTAATGCCAAAAAACATAAAAGAACATGAAAAAATTGCACACTAAAAATATCACAAGGCAGTAATCTTTCACTCTCTTGTTGCATGCTAGCAATATTTTTTTTTCCAAAACTAGAAGTTATGCAAAGTTGCAATCTCCCAAAGGCCTGGTTTGATATATCTTTAATTGTCAGTTCCTGATACATGCTTTTTACAAACGAGCCATACACTCAATTCTTGTCTATTTCATTTTGTGATTATATCAGCTGTATTTATAGGATTTATTTTTCCTCCAAAATTTTCCTTGTGTTTACAGGAATTCTTAGAATCAGATATTTTAACATAAATTGCCACATTGTAAGATTTTCCCTTTTAAACTAACTTAAATATGTCACTTTTAGCTATAAGACCTGTGGAAAGTTAATGTTCCTGACAACTAATACATTTGCCTGAAAAATTAATATTAGAATAAATGCCTTTTTTTTTCTTTTTTAGTTATGGAACTGTTAAAAAAACAGAAGATAATCTTCTTGAAAGTAACTCATAGAATTGTAAAGTGATTCATAGCATAACATCCTATACATACATCTCATTATTATTATTTTAAGAAAATTATGGAAAGGCCGCAGTTTTGTAACAGAGAATGTGAATAAACTTAAAAGAAATCAGAAAAAAAAGAGACATAATTAAGTGGTTCATTGTAAGAAGATATTTAAACAATTCTGAGCATTAGCTTAGAATGTGTCAAATTCTATAATGTGAGATTTGTTTGAAAAATTCCAACTATCTATTCCTAGGATTTTTCTTTATGAAGCAGTAAATGTGTTACAGCATCTGTAATAGAGTTTAAATGCATTAGGTTATATTTAGCTCACTGTGAAGTTGATACTATCAACATATACTTTCTTTTTTTATAAAACCAGTTCTGTGAGACCAATAATTGGATGCTGCAAATTTTAAAGCATACTTCTTGAGTCCATTAGAAAGAAATAAAATTACTCTTTATAGTGTATTTTATCCCATGCTGTATTCTCAGAATTTTCACATTTTTTTACTTTAAGTTTTATGTTTTAAAATCCATGTATTATTACCACATTTTCAGAGGTAGAAATGGAGACTCAGAAAGTCTAAATAATTTACTAAAAGTCACCTAATGAGTAAACAGAAGAACAAAATCTTGAAATATTTATCCATTGAGAAGAGAATGGACAAGATAGAGCTAAAACAAGGTAGTTAATTGAATCAGTTTAAAATATTTTATAGGCAATGCTATTATCAGTAGAGAGCTGAGATACTAAGTAGGCAATGGTTTCTAAAAGGCAAAACAAACAAACAAACAAACAAAGATAACTAAGCAGTAGTTTCTTTCCTTGCCTGTCACACACTTAACATGCACATACACACCCACATCCACACTTCAGACCACTGGCTGAGGTACCAGCTCTCTACCCTGGCAAATGAGTCAGGTTGTTTGTGGCAATAGATTTTGGAGGTTTCATCAGTATTCATGTTCAAATGACTGAGGTGCCCCCTCAGCCTGCCTACTGCATTCCCTCCATGACCTGAGACCAGCGAGGATGATGGGGAACATTATGACCCTTCCACTACCTCATTCTGAATCCAGCCCTGCATTTGTCACAGCTCTCAGGCTCACCGCAACTTGCCTGTTTCCTTTGTCAAAACCATTCTGATGCCAGATTCTGTTTGTCCCACACTAGCTGGTGATCTTTGAAAAGTCAGTCGGTCCTGGAGTAAGATAGTAGTGAAGAGATCAGACTTTGTGGAAAGATAGATACAGACTTAGAAACTTAAGTAAGCTATCAGGAGTAAAAATTTATTTAAAAAAAAAGTGACCTTGGTAGTTTCAGTGTCTTCATCTTTAAAATGGATCTGATGATGTCTGTAGGAAAAGTTATGAGCATCAGACACCATTTGTCTAATGCCTTTGGTATAGGGTGTGGCCTAGTACCAGTATGGGAGGATATGTTCCAAGCCCCCCACTGGATGCCTGGAACCTCAGATAGGACCAAACCCTCTATACACTATGTTTTCCTATACATACATCCTTATGATAAAGTTTAATTTATGAATTAGGCACAGGATGAATAACAGCAATAACCAATAATAGAATAATTATAACACTATACTGTAAAGCAAGTTATGTGAATGTGGTCTCTTTCTTTCTCAAATTATCCTCTTGTACTGTACTCACCTGCCTCCTTCTTGGGATGATATGAAATGACAAAATGCCTACGTGATGAAATCAAGTGAGATGAATGATGTGGGCAACGGGATGTAGTGTCCAGCTATTATTGCCCTTCCAATGCATTGTCATCTGCTTCCAGACCCCAGGTGACTATGAGTAACTGAAACCGTGGAAAGCAAAACTACAGATAGGGGGATGGCTGCTGTATAAGTGATTGATACATTGAAATGCTTAATATCATATAGCTGTCATTAGTTATTGTTCATAGAGTCGTAGAACCACAGATTTGGAACCAATCTCAGAGATCATCAAATTGATGGGTATGGTTAAACAAATTTCCCAAGTTCTAAGCAGGTCTTTTTTTTTTTTTTCCCCATTGCTAACACTAATGTGTTGCCAGCACCCCACCCAAACAAACCGTGACGTTGCTTTCCCCTTGGGTGAGATGGATGGTGTTCCCCGTTTCCCCGCACTCTCTATATAGGGATATATGACTGGGCATCTGCATAAGCCAAGTCCTCCAAAAGCATAGAAATGATGAAATATAATGACAATTCCCTGTTTGTAGAGGAGGAGGTTCTATTTTTATCACTTTATACATTGGGGTTTAAAACTTCGTTTTTTTCTTATTGCAGATTTTATAAAAGTAGTTTGTTTTAGCACATTTGGAGAATACTTACATGGAAAAGGATGAAAATAAATATCCAAGCCCAGAAATGATCATCTTTTAATGTTTTTTTCTTAGGCTGTGAGTATGTGCACACACAAACTCATAGACACTTTGGTGTTTACAAAAGTCTTACACCATGGTCCTTGTAGTTGTATAACTCTTCCCACAAAAGAGTAAGTTATGGATACCTTTCTGTATCATTAAATATTATTCTTTAATGCCATTTACTACATGAAATTCCATCATATAGATGTACTAAAATGTAATTACTTTTTAATATTACAATGACCACTTGCTTTCTCTAATAATTTGCATACTTTCACATACAATAAAATTTTATTCTTCACATTGGTCATCCCTAATCTGTCTACTTTGCTTATCTCAATAGGTACATTTTCAATGAAAATTCTCTTTTTTGGTGAGTGGTTTACTTTTTTAAATCAGAACAGTAAGTGAATGGATTTGCATTTTTTTTTCTCCTTTCACATCAATCTTACCACCACTATCAATTTTAGCATTTCTTATAAGCCATGGAACTATCCTTCATCTTCATCATCTTTATACTCATATGCATGGATATTTTTAAACTCATTCTACAATTGCCCCCATTTATCTTGGCATCTTACATGAAAATATTTTTTTAAATATCAATAATAGGTTTATTATATTTTAGCATTAATTCACTTGCATTATAAGATTAATGTACGTGAACGGTATAACATGCTGAAACATTTCACAGCATACTGGGATACGAGGTTAAATGCAAAATAATCTCTCACCCAACCTACTCTCCAATTTCACTCCCTAGAAGTGATTGTTACTTAGGTTTTGTTTATTATTTCAAATATTTTGGACATGCCCTATATACATAACAGAATTTCATTTCCCTCCCTCTCTTTCTCTCTGTCTCTCTCTCTTATCCTATATATCCTGCGTTTTTCACCTAAAATACTTACCTTATTTTGTCTTACTAATGTTTTCTATAGTTACAGAGCATAGCATCGTAGGGCTGTATCAAAACTTCTGTTTTTGCCCAATGGTGAGTGATTCAGTGCTTTTAATATTTTTTGTCTGTTGTTTTGATTATTTCATTGCTAGGGCACATACTAGTATATTTAGCAAATTTTGTTCACTCGTGCAGTAGTGCACAAAATACTTTTGCAAAACAAGACCCCAAAGTATAATCACTTCTTTTTCTTGATTTGTATAGACATAAGGGAAATTTGAGGGTTACAAAATAATGATTTATTGGACAATAACTAAGTTACAGCTTATTGTAATAACAGGTATGAACAAAAATAGCAGGAACATAGTATTGTTTTTGAGAACAAACTGAATTAATTTCTGAAAATGCATTTATAGTTCAAACCTACTACAACAGAAAATTCTAGAAAGTAAAAATAAGCAAAAAGTCTATTAGTCAGCCATCAGAATGACATCATCATGTATCATGTGGCCTCTGGAAAACTCTGCCTTTCACTTCTGAGAGAATCAAAGTGAAAAATGTAAATCACATCTTAATATTATTGTAAGAATATTTTTTCAAAAAGAATAATTTTTACATTATGGGCTCTCTGAAAGATCAACACTTTGAGCACTGCTGCCCTAGACTTCTTAATTGTTGGCTTGTAGTCACT